AAAGGTTTCTGCAGCTCTTTTCCCCATTCTTCTAAATCCAGACCAGATGTCTGGTGTCTCATCACTATCTTAAAACAGAAGAAAAGTTGCTGTAAGATTGTTCTGCTCAGAAATTTAAATTCCCACATTAAATTTACTGAGTTTCAGAGATTTAGAAATCTTTCTCTGTAGATGATGAGAAGGCATTTTTCCTCCAGGACGCTACTCTTAAGAGACTGCAGTCCATGGGAAAACTTGCATATCCAAACCAAGCAGCATGGTTGAGGCATTGTATTGAATGACAGATGAACAGCCCAGCATCCCAAATTGGTTGTGGATTTTGAAGGTGGTGTCTGTGACAGTGTATGGCATCTCATAGATCTAGAGAAAGAGCCCAGGAATAATTATTCCAAACCTTCCCCTGGTTCAGCTCTTTGACCACAGGTTGTAGCCATGCTAGTAAAACCAGTTGGGCTACTGTTGCTGTCTTCCTGTTCACTAGTGTTGGTTTTGCAAATTGTGTTGTACAAATCAGACACATACATGAGTTATACCAGGATTGTTGGGCTGGGGTGATGTGCTCATGTTGTCAATACGGATGTGATCTTGCCTTGGAACATGAAATGTTAACGGCTGCAATGGCAGAAGGAGATGGACTCCTCCAGTGTGGTTATGCTCAGGTACAGGTGGAATGCAGCAGGTAGAATACTCTGCCAGCTGTGCTGACCCAAAACACGCACCTGACTTCAAAACTAAATTTGTAAATGCCAGTTAACTTCAGCTTTTGTTTGGTCTTGGGTGCCCAGTTGTGACGGATGTTTGAGGTCCTGACGAATTAGAAATGCTGCCTGTCCGACTAGTCAGCTCTAGTCATCAGGCAGATGGTGGTGGGGCATTAATCCTTGCCTTGGGCTTCATGGTGTATAATCTGATGTGTTCTCCTTTTTCACAAATATAGTAAGTTATTTAAAGTATGCAAGTGTTTACCCATGTCTTTGTTTATGAATCCTAAAGATTATCTAAGCAAGTGTTCAAAAAAAAAAAACTGGTTGGATTATCTTTTTTTCTCATTGGGAATGAGAAGCCTGTCATCCACCTATCCCTCTTCCTCCAAGAAGCACCTGACAGACTCTGAAGTGAAATAGCCCAGCTGTGTGTCACCAGTGTGGGAGATGAGGAAATTGAGCATGTAAGAAAGCTGGAGTAAAACTGTATTTCTGGCATTCCCCCTCAGGTCCCAGCTGCCAGGCAGGTGTCGAAGCCAGCAGCCAGGGATGTGCTGCTCAGCCCACTGCTGATTCCCTGCAAGCGATGTGGGATATAGGTGCAGCAACCACCACATCTCTACCTCATGTGGCATGGTGTAGAGAGTGCAAGTCACCTCTTCCCCACTGCAGGCTGGAGCAGCCATGCTGGTGGAGGCTGTCCAGGGAGCTTGAGGCTGTGGTTGACTCTGGGCACCGTGTACTGGATCAGCTGGTGTGAGATCCTGCAGCTGTCTTACCCTTCTATGGGAGTGCATTTAGATGTGTCTTGTTTTACAGTGTGTTGGATGTGTTTGTCTGCTGTGCTGGGTGAGCTTAGTGTTAGAGCAGATGATGGTAGGCTATCTGCTCTCTGATACGTGGTGCTGCCTGCAGGCCTTTCACCACCACCCAGGTATAAAAAAGGATGGATGCTCTGAGTTCTTTGAAAGAAGTTTTTGATAATCTCTTAATTATTTTCTATGTTGGGAAAGATTATGTTGCATCTTGGAAGTAACTGCCTTTACTGTGAATTACGGTGCTTTGAGACCTGGTAGTTGGAGGGAGGCAGGAGGTGGTCTTGCTGACAGTACTGGAAGTACTGTGAGACATTACAAAGTAGCAGTAGATGCCAGTTGAGCTAAATCTGGATGGCACAAATTGCTTTACTGGCTGTCTTGGGAAACCTCATGAGTCAAATAAGCTAAGCAGCAGAGCTGCAGACCTGGGACCCTCATACTGTTGTTCTGCAGTGGGTGGGAGGATCGAGGTCTCAATTTCTTGAGCCTGTATAAAGTGGGGGGCTAAAAGCAGCAACTGCTAACCTGGTATTTTCTCAGGTGAGGGCTGGAGGCCTTTGTGCTACTAGAGGTACTGGTGAGTTGAGTCCTGCCTTGCCTGGAGCATGAAGCAAGACCTGTGCTGATGTAAAGGCTTGGAATAGCTCCATAGTTATTGGCACTGCAGTGTTGTCTGAGATTTTGGATGCAGAGCTGCCCTTCCTGTGTCTTAGTGTGGAGCAGTGCCTGTGGCTGGCTTCCTGGGGAGGGCTGTGCTGTGAGATCACAGAAGTGGGTGGCTGCTCATAGGACCCATCGCTGCTCTGGCCCTGTGTGACAGCATCCCTGCTCCTGAGGTTCCTCCTGGTCATTGGTGTGTGGTAGTCCAGGTGGAGCTTGAGGAACTGCCTCAGTGATAAACTGAGGTGGTTTCTGCAGTGCAGTCAATCCAGTGCAGCAAGAGCTGGAATTCAATTGCCAGTCATGCCCTGGGTTTTCTGTTATCTAATGGATCTGTTGGATCTGTCAATCCAGACAGGTTTTCAACCTCCAGCAGTGAGAGGCAGGTGGCACACTGGGGTTGATAATAAATCCATTATGGTAGGGAATAATACCTGGTCAACCCCAGTGGTTGCTTCCTCAGTAGCTGTCCAAGCACACTATAATCACTGTGTTAATTAGCTCTCCATTTCTATGAGCACAACAACCCTAAGTCTTGGGAGGCTTAGCTCATGCTCCCTGTCTGATCCTGCAGGGATATCTGGCTATGTTTACACTGTGATTGTGTTTCCTTCGTGTTTCACTGATGAGTTCCCCTTGCTCTTTCTGGGTTGCAGGCAGTTTGGAGAAGAGATACCCTTCTCTAGGGATCAGATTTATCCCCGGGGCACATGTCCGGAATTGCAGGCAGCAGACTTAAGTCTTTGTGCAGGGTGCTGCTGTGGTGGGACCCTGATCTGACAGCCGTGAGTGATGACTGGCATTCTGAGTCCCAGTGGCTTTCCTTGGAAGCATCTCTCGGCTGATGAGAGGCATTCCTTTGCCTGGACTGTGCTGCCATACCCTAGCCAGGAGGAGCTGAGTGGGCAGTGACTGGGCTTTAGGCAGCTGATGAGCATTTGATAAGGGTAGATTAAATCTGGTTGTGCAAGGTGAACGTGGAAATGTGACATGGCTTATAACAGGATGAGGAAAACTCTCCCCTGGCGTATGCAGATAGATTCTAAATCTTGATAGCACTCTGCTAATGATGCTGAATTACAAAAAAAAAAAAAAAATAAAAAAGGGAAAAAAAATGACATGGTTGAAGGATCTGTCTCTGTGATGGGAGAAAACTGCGGGAGGGAGCTGCGTGTAGGGGGTGAAGGGATATGTTGGGGGCTCGTGTTTGAGAAGCTTCTTTTCGGTGGACTGGAGTAGGCTGTTTCCTCTGCACTGTTCGGAGATCCCTTGCTGAATTTGGAGCGGATCTGAGGCGAGCTGAAGCTTGGGTTACAGATGCACGGGGTGCAGCAGCCGTACAGCTCCAGCGGGGGGTTAATCTCCGCTACTGTTTCTGGTCGACAAAAGCGGGGGAAGGAAGAGAAACAAAGCACAGGGAGTACCGCCGCCTGCAGCCAAGCCCTACTGTGTTCGTAGAGCGGAGCCGAGGCAAACCACCAACCCCTGTCACGGGAGCCATGGAAGCGGCAGTTGTAGTGATCGCGCCGGGCACACGCCGCGGTGCGAGGTTCCAAAAATTGCGCCACGCACGGGGCGGGCGCTGATGTGTTGCTCAAGGCGTTAGCAGTGCTGCCCTCGCCATGCGCTCATTGGGCAGCCACGCAACCCCCAGATAAGGACGGTTAGGCGGCGGGAGCGGCGCGCCTCCCTGCAGAGGAAAGCTGACCGCGCCCGAGGTCCGGGCGAGGGGCGGCGCGGCGCCAGACCCGCTCCCCCGCCGCCCGGCCCTGGGCCGCACTCCCCTCGTTGCGGCACGGAGAGCGGCGCTGCCGACCCGCCTCCGGCCCCGGTGAAAGCCGTTTTGTGGGCTGTGGGGCGCTACCCAGAGTGCTCAGCGCCGCTTGGGTGATATTTGCATAAGGGGCTGGCCAGCCATGCCGGGCTGAGGCGAAGCGCGTCCCCTGCCGGCTGCCCGGCACGGCCGGGAGTATGAATGGATGGTACAGGATCCGCAGGGAGCGGAGCGGGGCTGCGCTGTGCAGCCCTGGTAGCGCTGCCGCAGGAGCCTGACCGTCCGTTGTATTTCTGTGGATTACAAACCTCCCTCTGTGCTTCGCTCTAAAGACTTATGGAGAGATGGCTCATACCAGAACTATCGCAGTCTGCAGGGTCTTGCCAAGTATTTAGGATACAACTGACACAGTACATTTAGTATGCAATGTATTTATTTTTTTTTTTTTTTTTTAGTTATTAAATTGTGTTAATCAGAGTGGGTTTTCTGATCTGCAACCTGTCCTGAAGCTTTTTTCACACAAGGTGCTTTTGCCTTGGCTTCAGTTGGGTCATGAAAGTGTTAGGTTTTATTTCTGCAAGTCAGTAATTAACCAGCTGTTAGTGCACATCATTTTCTAATTATAATTACAATAAGTACAATAATTACAATTAGCTAGAAATGTTGGCTACAGCAAATATTGAAATTGTTATGCATATTGTATGTGTATGTTGCACATATGTATGAATTTAGTATTGAGTGGCAATTATGGTTGTTGGCTTTGTCAAGTTCTTGGGAATGAATTTTGGCTAGTAGATGTCACGGGGAACAATGATTCGGGGACTTTTGTGTTTGTAAGCCACTTGGTTTGTCTGTCAGAAGCCATGAAAAGAGGAGTTGTGTGTACCTGTACAGTGCTGGTATCTGAGCAGTGCTGGTGGCATGGATGGGAAGGGGCCCTTCTCCCAGGGGAGCATGTGCCAGCACTCCTGTCTCTTGGGTATGTTGGCTGAGGCCAGGGGCAAAATGCTGTACGCTATAACACTATCTGTCCTGTGCTTGCAGGTGGTTCTCCTCGGGATTGACATTATTTCTGCATTAGTATCCCGCTTGCAAGATCGCTTCAAGGCCCAAATTGGCACAGGTAAGGGCTCTGTGTGTGTGTGCAGAGAGAGGATGTGATCATTGATCTTTTGGGATCTGCTGTGGCTGCTGTGTACAAAAGTGGCTTTCTCTCCAGAAGAGCACTTGGGAGGCTCTTGATGGTTTCAGGCTGTGCTGAAGGGTGGGAGGGCTGGTCTCTCCATCCAGGTGGGGAAAGAGCAGAGGGGCTGTGCCACTGTGAGTTTTCTTTGGAAGGATTTGGATGTTCATGTTTTCTTTCCTCAGTGCTGCCAAGTTTACTTGATAGGCTGGGAGACTCTAAAGACTCTGTGAGGGAGCAGGATCAGACCTTGCTGCTGAAAATCATGGAACAAGCTGCTAACCCTCAGGTATGCTTGATAGCCTTTTGAAGTGTGAATGAGTGACTGGCTGCTTAAAAAGGAGAACTTTTCTGTCAGAGGGTTTCCTCCTGTAGCTCTGCCTGAAGTGGCTTCATCTCCCTATACCTTGTTATGAGATATTTGCTTCTCTTGGGAATGCTGTTGCATGTCAGGATACACATGGGAGTGTCAGTGGATTTCCCAAGGATGAGATGAGTGGATGTCAGAGTAGTAGTTCTGGGTCTTTGGAAGGTACTTGCTTTCAGTAACTAAAAGTACTGTTTTCACTAGTGGGGATTTACTGTGAAGTCAGCACAGAACAAAGAATGACAGATCTAAAACTGTCTTCCAACTTCTTGTCCTGTTCTGCTTGGATGGGTGTAAAGCTTACATTTAAGTCCAGAGATGTCATAGTATGTATCTGCTGGAAGAAAGAATCTGTGTCTTTTCCGCCTCCTTTCTTTCCTGTCTCACCTCATTTTCTGTCTTCCACAGTACGTGTGGGACAGGATGCTAGGAGGATTCAAACACAAGAATTTCCGGACAAGAGAAGGGATTTGCCTCTGCCTTATTGCAACACTCAATGCGTAAGTCAGAACCTCCTGCAGACCTGTATTATATATGCAAGCCTGGTCTGTGATTCACACCAGTCCTCTCTTGTTCTTTATTCCCAGATCTGGAGCTCAGAGTTTAACACTGAGTAAGATAGTGCCACATATATGTAACTTACTTGGAGATCCAAACAGCCAGGTAAGCTTTTGGTGTGAGTCACATCTAAAGGTTGTGCTGATTGCCTTGTTGGTAAGCAGGGCTCTGTTCTGCCTGGTAAATTAGCTAATTGTGCTGCTGGTGGTAAGCTCTGAACAATGCTGTTCGTGAAGAGCCCTTTTTGATGAGCCCTTTCTGAAGTGATTTGAAGTGTTGCCTAAATCAGCACAGAGTTCAAAAGAACAACATGAATCTGTAAATGATATGAACAAAGCAGGGAACCTTTGTGGGAAGGGAACTGCTGTGATTTACAGTCTGAATGCAGGGGACGCTGCAGGGAAACCTCTGGACTTAGTGCAGCATCCTTCATCTTCAGAGATGAACCAGTCTGAGCAGGGAGGGCAGATAAGACTGGTTGGACAGCCTGGCTAGGTGTACTGTCAGAAGTTGTACAGGAAGATTCTGAATAAGGGGTGGAAGGAAAGCAAGCTGTACAGGAATCCTAAATCAGCAATGCAAGTCAAATGAAAATACATGTTGGAAGGATTCTGTCACTTCTGTATGCTTTTTGTTCTGCCCTGGACAGAACCTAGCCTGAAACTAGATACAAGTGTTAGCGAGAAGGTGGGGAAAAGGAGGGAAAGCAGGATATGAACTTGTCATATAACGTGTACTAGCAGGTTTTGAATGTTCCTTTTACCTTCCCAGCATGGGTGACATGTGATCCAGGTCTGGTGTGAGTGTTTAGCTGGAAAGAAGCATAGGGTGGCCAACTGGAGAATGGGTTTGCATTGTTCAGGGAGTTAGCTGTAGTCCCATGGCTGTTGGGGCCTCCCTTTTTTGAAGAGGAGGACTGAATGTGAAGCAGCCTGCCTTTGCTGGTTGTGCCAATGCAGGAGGATAAACCTGTTACCCCAGGAAGTTTCTGAGAAAGTTTAATGTCTTTCGTAGGTCCTTCGTAGCTTTGAGTTGTGACCGAGCAAGCTCTTATTCTTCAAGGGGCAGGGGGGTACTTGTGGCACAGACACACACCTTGGTCCTGCCATTGGTGAGCTAGTAAATGAATCAGAAAGTTGGTGAGGGCACTGACACATGTTTTGCCTCTGCAGTGCCTGTTATATGTGTCTGGCATAGCTCATTATCCAGTACCCAGCTTCAGGGGGTAAATGGGGCTGATCTCTTGGACCTTCGGCAGGGTTTGGTTCCTCATCCCCAGAAAATCCATGCCTGAACTGATCAGACAAATGGCTGTCAAAGTGTCTCCTGGTTGAGCAGCACCTGCCCTGGGCTCTTCCCCTAGGGGTACTTCTGTGCTGCTGGTGCCTTCTGAGGCTGGAGAACCTGATTCTCGGTCAATGCTGCCCTCTCTTGGTGAGAGATGATGGAAAAACACATATCCAGGTCAAATGCAGTGTTTTCCCTTTTGTTGTGGACATGGAAGCTGTTCTGTTACTGCTCTTTTCAGAAAGAGTAGTTGTTTTCTACTAGCATCTGGTATGACAACAGTATTTAAACTATGATTGGTTAATGCTCAGTTTTATTTGAATGAGACTTTGTTATTGCTGTCATAGACTAAACCCAGTGTGATAGTAGTAGCTCCCTGCCTTACTTACCCAGTGTGGGGTTTACCCAGTCCTGAAACTGTACCTCTGATTAACTTTATACACAGTCCTTCCAGATCATGCAGCCATGCCTCTGCTGCTGATGTGCGGGCATGGGCCTCAGGGCAGGGGGACTCATTTCAGGTGTGTGAGATGCCACTCACACGCTGCCACTTCTCCCTGGCTGTTGGAGGCAGAGCAAGGCTGGGTTAGGGTTTGTATACCCAGAAACTGGGGGACATCAGAGAGTCTCTACAGAGCTGTGCCCAGAAGTCCTGCCTGGTTGCATATGGGGCTGGTGGGCAAAAAGAAGAGAGGCAAGACCATCAAGAGCTGATGTGAGTGAAGGCAGGGGTTTGGGTTTTTGTGTAGGAAGCAGGGCACATATACCTACCTGCCCTTTGACCCTTGCCTATAGGCGATTCTAGCTTTTGCCCACAGAATATCCTGTGGCTAGCCCTGATGTGTGCTGGTGCTTTGGTAATGCCAGGCCATCTTCTAAGAAGCAGAAATGCATGGCTCTGTAAATATTTCTGTAGGCAAAGCAGATACCTTCTCTGCCTGATGGAGAAAGGGGGTTCAGTCCGAAAGGTGACACATTTAATCACATTGTGGCTCCTCTGTTGGGTGATGCGCTCAGCAGTTTCTTGCAAATCAGTTTAGAAAACATGCAAAATTCATGGTGATCGATTATGCCTCCCTCTGTACATACATTTATAAGGTGGCATTAAAAATTGGTTTCTTTTATAACATACTAGCAATATAAGCTCTATTTGTGTGTGTCCTTGCTTTTTTCATCTAGTAAATATATCTGTTGAGTACAACGCATGGAGTTTGGCAGAGGCAGCCGAGCTCCCTGTGTGTATTCCTATGTATGAAACTTTTCATCTTATGTCTTGACTGCCATTTCAGTTAAATTAGACCTTTTGATACTACTAATATCTGAAATGCAGGGATGGAAGCTCCTTCCTGAACACTGTGCTAATGGCTATAATGGCAACTGTTGTTGAGAAATATGCAAATTTCTTCCTCCAAGGTAGGACAAGGATTTATCTAAATTACAAAGATGATTGATTTCTCTCATGTCCCACATTCAGGTTCGAGATGCAGCAATAAACAGCCTTGTGGAAATTTACAGACATGTTGGTGAACGTGTAAGGGCTGATCTCAGTAAAAAAGGATTACCCCAGTCTCGGTAAGCTGTAATATCCTTATGTCTTTCACTATTTTTGGGCTGCTTTTTATTCCATTCCTTTAAAAGGCTTCAGGAGCTGCATGACTGAACCTTTTCGTGGGATCAGGGTTGTTTTGTATGTGGTTATTTTATATCATACACTCAGGTTTCCCTTAATGTAGGTCCTTACCTTTGGCCGAGGATGTCACAGCATCTTTGGAAAACCAGTAACATAACAGATGTGTAGTTAACTGATTTAAGATTTAATGTGGTGTTTTTTCTGGATGTTCAGCATGTGTAGAGGGGACTCTTCAGAGTAGCCTGCATTTATGCAATTTAGAAGAAGGAAAACCAATACTGTCAATATCATCAGTTCCAAGGCTTTATTAAAAATCAAAACAAACCAAAACACAAAAAACCTGTCTCCCCAAAACCCCCAACAGACCACACCAAACAAAAAACCAACCCTAATTTCCTGCCCCCTCCCCAACCCCAATTAGAGAAAAAAACACCCCAAAACCCAAGCCCTGTTCCTCACTGTCTGCCACTTCAGGTGCAGTAAGAAGCTGCTCCATGTTTTGCCAAAACCAGTGCACAGGGTGGAGTGCGGTTAGACCTGAGGATGGAGAAGATGGCAGTGTGTCAATGCACAGAGGGAGGAGGCAAGAGGTTATTTCAGAGGTGGGGTGCATGTGAGGGTAGGCAGTACTGTTGCCTTTGTTCTTCAGTGAAAATACCTGCTGCCACAATGTGGCTGAAAGTAATAAATTCTCTGAGAAGGATTACTGAGATGTGATAAGGATCTTCTGCTCCATCAGGCCTGTGACACAAATGAGAGAAGCATAAGGGCCAAAGATAATGTTGGGTGAAGTTGTTTTTTTAGAAGTGGGTTTTGTGGTATTTCTGCAAATATTTAAGATAGTTGAAGTAAAACTGGAAATACATCTAGAATTAGACATGTTATATCTTCAGTATTATAGTATTTCCAATTATATCTTACACCTCTGTAGTTTCAGTTGTTTCTCAGTTTTTCTTATCTGCTGTTGCATGCTGTGATACTTTTATTTTTCAAGTAACTTCCTTCTACAGTGACATTTTAGACAGTGCTCCCAATGACCTGAGTTAAGCAAAATTTGTCCTATAGCATCTTAAATTAAGAGATTCGTAAACATTAAATTCATCTTTCATTGTGTATTTCTTTACCTTTCAAACAGGTTGAATGTAATTTTTACAAAATTCGATGAGGTCCAAAAATCTGGAAACATGATCCAGAGTTCAAGTGGTGAGTAGGAGTATTTGCATTTTCTTGTTTTAAGCAGTTTTCAGTTGGTGAGGTGTTCAAATGGACGTGGGCACAGAACAATCATTCTGTTAAGGGAGAAAAGTATGGGTGATCAGAAATGTATACATAGGTTTTGCAACACATAAAATTGATATTCAGTTAATCTGCTCTGTCTTCATAGTAGTATTGGAAGGAGAATGTTCCTTGTCTGAGACTAGTAGCTTGCTGATTTAAAAACAAGTGTTTATTACTGCTTTTCTTATAGATAAGCTTATGAGCTAGAAAGTATTTTTAATTACGTATCACTCATTTTTTAGGAAAAGAGTTTTGAGAGAAGTCTTGGTGAGGGAGTTAATTTTTCTGCCAACAGCTGAGTAGAGCAGAGAACATGGGTTCAGTGCTGTGGGTTCCTATCAAGCCCCCACACTCCGCAAGGCCAAGAGCAGGAGAGGCGATGTCCCCAGTCTTTCCCACCATGCACTCAGAAACCAAGAGAACAGAGGTGTCTCTGCTCTTTTAAATTGGAAGATACCTTTTTCACTTCTAGTCACCATTCTTCTTGGCAAATCAATTTTTAAAATACAGTAAACTTTATTTTTGCAGGACCTAATAAAATTGACTTATTTGAAAAGGCTGAAGTTGTATTTTGGGTTATTCAGAAATGTGGTGCGGTGTTCTCTTATGTTTGGGAAGATGAAGACTTAGTGCAGGTTCCTCTGTGATGGAATGGGTTAAAATTACGGTTTTGCATAATATATTGATACATGAGGCTTACAGTGGCAAAAAGGTGCAGTTGAGAAACAAATGTCCTTGTACTTTTTTTTTAAGGGGTGGGGGGAATAAATATTCAATCCCTTAGCAAACATCTTAAGACTTACAACCTCCAGGTGTTTGTTCTGAAATCCTAACTAACTGAAACAACCTTACTGCTGATCCAGCTTCTCTGCTTTCTGTTTGGCTAGGCTAAGGTAGAACTTTTGTTTTGCTAGTAGTGGAACAGAATGGGCTTTCAAAACCAGGAAGTTAATTTGATGCATCATTCCACTATGTAGATTGCTGTGGTCTGGATTTCGAGGAGGCAGACTTGTGCTCTCTGGTGAGAAGTATTGCTACATGGTCTTTTTAACCATCATCCCTTTGGTGGGATGATGACTGTGGGTGGGATTTCTGTTGGGTTTATTCTTTTGGCGGAGGGGGAAGGATTTTGGAGCTTAGTGTACCTCTAGCCAAATTTAAGCTAAGTTTACAGAAGGTTTTTTTCTAGCCTGAATGAAGGTGATCTTGGTAGAAAATTAGGTATGTCACAATGGATTAGAAGAGTATTTAGTCTGAAATATGTGGGGTACATGTAAGAATACACATGAAGAGGAAGAAACTAGAGTTAGTTTATTTGCAGCGTAAGTTTTAGCTATGCAATCGTTTTAGCATTCACACATCCCAAAACAGTACCAGAGACATCACTTGTGAATCCTTGGTTTTTGAGAAGTGGCTCTGGTCTCCAGTCTGAACATGCATGGTGTGATGTGATTCAAAGCTGCTGGCACCATGAAAACCATCAAAAGAAGCAAGATGGGACAATTGGGATGACCTGTTCTGAGTAGGCAATTCTTACTACCATCTCTTTCCAGGAAAGCAAGCCATCTGTTTTAAAATTACCAAACAAGGATTCCATAGGAACTTTTTTTAAAATTTGTTTTAAGTACATGCAAGGAAAGCATCTAAGCACGTTAGATCTTCTAGTTTTATTAGAATTATTTTTTCTTGTAATACCCCTTCCTCTGTCACTGTTTTGGTGAATTTGAAGACTTAATGTTCGTGCAGGTACAGTGCCTGAAACCTTACACACACTATCTCACGCTCTTGACTCCATTGAGAGGCTTTTTGTCCTTCTTGATACAAGTACTCTTGTGTTCCCCACTCTGCTTAATATGATCTGCTGATGTTTCACTCTCCTTGCTTGCACTGTGTCTAGATGCAGTCCTTAGAGTGTGTGTGTTAGCATTTCTCCTCTGTTGAATATCCTGTATGGACACTGAGACCAAAAGTAGCCTGGGGGAAAGGGAGTTGGGGGGAAGTGGAGGAGTATTAAAGGGTCAAAGAGAGCAAGGTGTGGAAAGGATAGGGTATCCCATTGTTCTGTCAGAAACATTTAATCTTCCCTAACAATAAAAAAAAAAAAAAGTCTGCAGTTGCATGAGTTATTTTTAAAGTAGCTCTGATTTGTGAAGCTAATGAGAACATAATTTATTAATATCGCTTTTTGTGTGTGAGGGGAGGGTTCAGTTCCTTGTAGTCCTATAGGCTGGTTTGTTGCTTCTTCCTTGCCTGCCAAGCACAACACAAATACAACAAACATGCTCACCATATCTGACATGTCGACAGCTCTGTGCAACTTTCAGCTTATCTTTTTGAGGTTGTGTAAGCCAGTGGAGGACGCTTATCTTCACTCATAGTCACAAGTTTATTATGGCCTAAAAGCAAACCAAATTTGTCAGGTTATTTGTGTCCCTGACACTTCTGGGGCTTTTGGACAAAGGTGGCACTTTCAGCTGTTGTCAGAGTCATCAGGAAAGATGATGGTAAATATTGCACATCCAGATGATCTGCTTTCCTCGGGAAACAGCTGCTTCAGTTTTGTCAATCGTCTGAGTCTGGCAGAGTCCAGCATTGATTATGGGGGTGTCTGTCTCTGACTGTACTACTGCCCCTTTAAATTATAACACCGCTGGCCAAACATAGCACTAATGCTTTAACCTTACGTGCAACCTAATGTATAACCTTTGTGTTACACTGCCTGCCTGGATCAGGTGACTGCAGGCCATATGGTGCAGTTGTGCTTTGTCTTAAAAGCTCGAGTCTGTTCCTCTCTGTAGCTGCCATGTACTAAGTCCACCTCTGTGCAGGCTGCGTGAGGGTGGCAGAGGTTTTGGAGGTAGACTGACAAATGTTTATGCAGACTGCAGTCTGTAAGCCTTTGTTGGTGTAAAATGGTGCTGTGGAAGGAGGAGAGTTAGTTCACTTGCATTGGGTTTTCTGTCCTGGGCTGCTGCCTGTACCATCTGCAGAACAGACCTGACTGAAAAGTAACATGCTTCACCCTTTGGGGAAGGGCTTCTTGTTGCTCAGGGCTAATGCATGCTTCTGAAATAAAGGTTAACTGAAGTTATATCATGACTTCCCAGCACACTAGCAAAGATCAACTCTAACTCTTTTTAAATGTGATCTTATGGGTGAATATGGTGAATCTTTTACTTCTCTGGTCAGTAGCTCAGGTGGGTAACCCAAGAGCAAGCTGTTGGCTGAAGTGTCACTTGTAACCTAGTGCTGGCCCAGGAACACTGGAATTGTGCTATTTACAACAAGACTTGAAAGTGGCTGTCAAACCTGACTTACTGCAGAACATAGCTGAACTCGGCAGGTGGGAAAGTGACTGTGGCTTCTTAAATGGTGAAATATGGCAAAAGAACTGGTTGAAGATGAATGATGACTAAAACTGGTCTCTTAGCACCAAGGCTCCTGTTTGGGATAACAGTTTCCTCTACCAGCTCACTGATGATTCAAGTAAAAGTAAGCAATTGCAGCAGCATTATTTGGGTATCAGGAGTAATTTGGAGATCAGGGAATATGCTGCAAGTTGTTCATAATTTCTTAACTAATGGTTTGCAAGTCACAAACGAACAGAAATCTTAGTCTGCTAGAAAAGGTGTTTCAAATAATAGTGCATTTTCTGATCCCATAAATCTAATGGATCAACTGTAAGCAGAATGTGATTTTTAAGTCTGTGAAAATAATGAATGTGGTTTATATTAACTTACTTTCTGTACCATGGTCCTTTAGTGCTGCTTTGAGTTTATCTTGAATCCCTTGATAATTTTTTTGGCTAGGCTTTGTTTCTATCAGTAATGCAGGAATCAAATATGTAGTCGGGTGTGGGGGAGGTTTGCAGAGCAGTCTGAGGTGTTTCATTAAGTTGTAGGGAGGTTTTGACATGCCTGAACTATGCTGGTTGTTGCTAGGCTACCACCAGCCTTATAGCTAGAATTGAAGTTAAAATCCATGTTGGATTTCTCGATGATTCTCAGTGCATCTCTGTTTTGTTGTTTGTCATATAATTAGCTTCTTGAAGCAAAAATTATAGTTTTTCTTCCTTTGGGCTTTCAGCAAGCTAATTATTTTTGTGTAACTGCTTCTGCTAATTATGCAGATGCCTTATTCTGGGACAAATATATTTTCATCATGAAAGAGCCAATAATTGGCAGCTAGTCAGCTGCTGTATTTGTTTGGCATTGTGTGATGATCCTTAGTTGGATGTGATACAGAGAGAGGCTATTTGACATAAACAGAGACTACAAGAAATTCAATGCTGTATGGGTTTCCTTGGTATTACGTCTGGAAGACCTGAACATAAAGTGTATGTTTTTTTCATGTATCTGAACTGTCTTGATCGGACCTGGATTTCAGAACAGGTTAAGAATGAAGTAAGTGAACTACTGAGAGATACAGGCTGATAGGAAATTATAACTCAAACCAAAGCTAATAGTAATTAAAATATTTCAGTATTGTGGGTTTGTTTTATGCTCATGTTCATTGCAATATCATAATATGACATTCCTTGATGTAAACCCCCATTTTCTACATAAGTCACAATTTTGGGGAAATGATTCTACATTGGTGCATGCAGGATTACTGTGGTGGTGAGCCAGTATGGTGGTACCTGTGAGTAGAGAGGGGATTGAACTTCCTCGTCTATTTTGAATTTTGACTTTATTTGGGAGAGCAAGATCTAGGGATAGTGGAGGTGGCAGTGGTCTTGGGGTGCAAGGAAATCAAAGCAGATCTTAAAGCCAGAACTCTGGAGCTGAGATCTCCCTCACAGATACTTGCACTGAGTAAGGCAAGGAGAGGATGCAATTTCAGTAGTTGCCTATGTAAGTTCTAAGAGTAAGCAAGTTAATCAAAACAATGCTAAAGTAGCAGGTGTGATAATTCTATTTACTGAA